TGCTGCAGAATCGTCTTAGGTGGGCCACAGAACTTTTGCAATCGTTAAGTAATTTTTATTTAGTAAATAAATTTATCAACAATTTAATAGACTTTTGAAGTTTCACATGAAAATGATCACATGACTACTTATTACAAAAATACATCATTGTTGACCCATCAAATGTGGCACAATCCAATAGATCTAACAAAATATTCATATGCTATTGAAATTTTATTTCCATTACCAGATTGGGAAGTCATCAATATAAGCTTTATTCATCGATTTGGGTCAGTGTTGTTGATTTTAGTGTGGCTTGCAAAATTCATTTTTGCAGCAAAGAGCACAAGTTTATTTGTGTTCAAAAATAAAGTTAAGTTAGTAACATATAAAAGAACAGCTATAATTTAAATCAGGGAGATTCAAGCTTTTTGCACTGAGGGCCCCATTAACCAACAGGCAATTAATAACAGGCCACATATATAAGTTAAATTGTGTTGATGAAGCAGAATTGCAGACTTCAAAAATACTTCCTTGTCCCATAACTGTGAAAGATGCCAAATAAATGTAAATCTTTCACTTTTCGTTCTTATGATGTCATGCTTTTCATAGTAACTTAGGCTTCTGACTGACTAGTTTTATTCAGATTACTTTCTGCATTTACATACGTCCCACTGTCTGTGTAGTTATCTATAAATGCTTGTTAATATTTACTTATTAACTTTCAAATAATAATAATAATAATTGCATTTCTGAGTTTCTCATTAAGGAAACAGACATAAGGAGTTCAAAATATTGTTCAAGCCAGAAATATAGAAATATAGCTAGAAATTACTCCAAATCTCACCTAATGAGCCTTGTAGATGTGCAATATATTTATGATATTATGATTATGTCTCTGAGTTATGACCAAATTACATTCAGTTGCTCAGCTTTATTATGCATGATTTTCTCATTTGACTGTATGCTGTTTCAGAATCCCATGTTACCAGTCATTTTCCTCTTCCCCCAATACCACTCCCAAATTCTTCTTCCCTAATTCTCTATGAAGAAGATACCTTCTGTACTTCCCTTTTTCATTAAGACACCATTTCCCTATTTGAATATTGCTGGAAAAGAGAGGCATGTTGAAGCTTTTCATCTTGCTCTCATCAGGACAAACGCAGGAATGCCAAGTTTCAAAAAATCACAACAATATATACTAGAGGACAAAAGGGTGCTGAGTGGTTGGCAGGTTGACTCTGATTGGCCAAGTGTTTGCCATGGAGTAAGCAAAGGGTAACTATAGGGTCCCTGAGCTCCCAGGTAATTCAACAAAGCCCCAAGGTTTGAACATATTTCTTTTTGTTTGGCGAGGTCAGATTCCACTGTATGAATGTACGTTACTTTTAGCAAAAGAACAATGTTACAGGCTTGACTGATTATCTGAATTGGTTTTTATCGTGGCTATTCACACTCAAAACTGCTCATTAACTGCTGTCTAATCATGAAATCACATCGAACAGCAGATATCTTGTTCTGGCTTTGCAAGCACTCTCAGGTTGAGTACAGTTTGTGCTCTTTCTAATATAAACAATCATCATTTTTGATTTGATCAGACAGTCTTTGGGATGTATGGCTACATATCAGGCATCACATCATCATAATTTCATACATGATATTGCTCAATTGTGTGAGAGTCAGAGCATCTTTTTGAACTGATGGCAACACCCTGTTGGTAGAATGTGTCACTCACATAATGAGTTTTTTTTAGCTGTTTCACATGAGGTGTTCCATTCTTTTTGATGAGAATGTATACAAACATACACTAAAATCAATAGATTTGATCTTGGTGAAGTGAAGCCCACCTTCACTTCAGAACATGGTTTACTTCAGGATAGTGATCCACCAGTTAAAGAGAGGATTGTCTTAGTATGTAGGTTTTACATCAGTTTGGGGCTGCTTGGCATTCCTTCTGTACATCTTGCCATTTGGATAAGACATTAGAGGTCCCATTTGTCCTTTCAGATGAACCTAAAAGATTCCATTACATTACTTTTGAAAAAATTGTAGACAATTTCTCCACAGTCTGTCTATTTAAACCTCAAAGAACATCACTGAAGCAGACAATCTGGTCGCTACCAAATTGCTGTATGTGGGAACTTGCTGTGTGCTAATTTGGGTTGTTGCATATCCTACATTACAACCGGGACTGCTAAAGTACTTTGTTGGTTGCAAAATGTGTTTACAGCAGTGATTATGAAAGGTGCTACATAAGTGTAAGTCTTTCTTTATAAGCAGCACTGCCACTTTTAACTGTTCCACCCCAATTGTACTTTCCAATCAGGTAATCTGTACTAAGGCAAAGTTGCACAAGATAGAATATAGTCTTGAATTTAAATGGGAACTGTTGTTGTTTCCCATGGAAATTTACATTTCTGTGTGTTACAAACACATCAGTTCGATGTGTTCAGGGATATTGATGAACATTGGTTCAGGAATTGAACCCATACTGTTGGCACCTATTGCATCCACAATGACTGTCCACCCAACTGAGGCCAGTTTGCCCTCCAGGGAGTCTGAGTTGCTGTGGCAACATGCACTTTTACATGTATGTTGTAGTCCAGAGCTGTGCATGGTAATACTGAAGTCGCACCACACCAGGGTATAGTCCGACAGGTTTATTTGAAGTCACAAGCTTTTGGAGCACTGCCCCTTCGTCAGATCTTCACCTGATGAAGAGGCAGTGTTCAGAAAGCTTGTGATGACAAATAAACCTGTTGGACTATAACCTGGTTTCATGTGATTTCTGACCTTGTCCACCCCAGTCCATTACCAGCACCTCCACATCATGGTAGTACTAAGGGGAGAGCTACAATCTATTTCTATCATATTCCTTCCCACACATGGACTAGGAATCTCTCTTACCCGTGCTACTTCCATTGGTATTTGTTGGAAGGATTTACACACCTTGATACTGCACATATTTAATCATGTTATGAACAGACCCACCTTGGTCAACAAGTCCTCAAATGGGACTTGAACCTAAGGCTTCTGGACACTCCCCACTTTTTCATAGTACATCATGTTCATAATTTGGAATGCCTTGTGCCCAGGTATTGTACTATTTTTGGTGACCCTTTTTAAAAAGCGAAAGAGGTGGTACAACAATTTTTATTCCCCATCCATCATTCTAGTAGGAATATTTCTATCTAGAATCATTCTATCTGGGATAGAAGCCTTGCACTAATCTTAATGCAGATCAGTGCAAGTGCCATTATATCCAGTTGCTGGGGGTGGGGAAGCTTTAAAGATCTTCTTGTTTTCAAACATTGCATGGATAATCAGTCATTGATTATTTGTAGGAGGAAACCGCATCGTTATACACTTACAGGCTTACAAATGCTCACAAACGCGTATACCCAACACACACACACGTGCACGCATGTGCACACTTGTACAGTTGAACTGTTCGATCTGGATTGTAAAGCACAGAGTAACCAGAATTGGAATTGATGTGCTCCTGAAACTGGCTGCGATGCTGAAGATCTAGACAATATTCCCCATCGAATTTGCTGCCTCCAATCCTTGGGTCCCCTGTCATGTTGCCATGGGAATATTTGTCCTTCCACATCACAGATGGTGTCTTCAGGAATCTGATGTGCATCTGCTAATCTTAAAGTATTACTACTCATCCTCATGATTTATTGCTGAAGAATGTTTTAGTGACAGTTTCCATGTGCCTGTTAAAATTAAGGAATGACTTGTTTACAGCATTCATGTATCCACAACACAGTTTTGCTTCTTCCGGGCCTTTTTTTTTGTTTGCAATGCAAGAAATTATTACAGAGAGGACAATGTACAACATAGATATCGTTGTGAGTGAAAAGTAACTGAACATGCCTTGAAACCCCAAATTCCCTCAGAACAGCTAAGGATCTGTTAAACCTGCAAGAAGGGATTTTTAAGTTGAAGTGTTCGGTTATCGCAGCACAGCGAGAAATCATTCAGCTCGTCACATCTTCACTGATCTTTTCCCAAAGAAACCTAAACCACCCCTTGCACACTTCCCACCCCCTGAATCATACCAAATGAGTACTTAATCTCCTTCTGACAGTTTGAAATCTGTGTCAATACTGATGAACATCTAAATAATTGCATATTCCAATCGCACCTTAAAAATCTTCTGAAGAAGGGTCCCAACCCGAAACGTCAGCTTTCCTGCTCCTCTCATGCTGTCTGGCTTGCTGTGTTCCTCCAGCTCCACACTGTGTTATCTCTGACTCCAGCGTCGGCAGTTCTTACTATCTCTTAAAAATGTGAACGTACTTTTCTACTCCAACTCTCTTTCTTCTTCAACTTAGTAGTGATTGAAAAGGATTAATTTGTAGGAATTTATAAATTCAGTATCTAGTTTTAGTTGCTTTCTGTATGGGAGATTAGTAGTGTGGGATTACTATATCTTGTGAGTCAGGTGTGGCTCAGTAGGTAGCATGCTAGCCTCTGAGTCACAAAGTCCTAGGTTTAAGCTTGAGCACAAGGTGCTGTACTGGGGGAGTGCTGTCAGCTGCAGCATCTTTCAGTTGAGACACAAAACTAGGTTGCATATGCCGCCTGGAGTAACATAAAGGGATCTCATGGAACCTTCTCCCTAGTGGCCTGGCCAGATCTGAAAACATTCTCACTAACATGTTGTGGGACTTGGCTGAGTGCAAACTAGTGACAGTGTTTCCTACATTAAAACAGTGAATGTATTTCAAGAAATATTTAATTCGTAGTAAAGTGTGTTAAGATGTCCGGTGGTCATGAGAAAAAAATTCTAAAGTGAAGTCTTTAATCTGTAAAAGTGCGTTTTTCTTATTTCTGGTTTTTGAATATACCTATGTGTTTCTTGATATTTTATATATTTACATATATATAGACAGAAACATTATATTTTTTATATATATATATATATATATATACGTATTTCCAGTCAATTGTGATGTTCTATATGTACTGGATATTGAAAATATAAGCCTAACATTCCTTGCTTGTTCCAGGTTCCCTAGTGGGCAGTCCACATGTGTCAGAACTCTCACTGAATTCACAAAGTACTCCTGGTATTCAGAATCTCTCGCTGTCTCCTCGCCTGAGCCCAGATGGTAAACAGCACTCACCACTGATGACTCCACTCTTGACAGATGCAGCATGTGTCAAGACTGATGACGAAGAAGAAATGAGGAGAAAGGTTTGACATTAATTACACTTCCCCCAACCCTGCAGTCTCAGAGACTGATAATGTCATGGTCAAGCCAACGATAGCGGTGTACTGCAAGAAATCAGATTTCACAAGAACTAGGAACAAGATTATAATGTGTAGCTCCACCATTCAGTATATTCATGGTTGATTTAGCGCTGCATCTCCAGTTGTGTACTTCATATCCCTTGATTTCCAAAGTGACCAAATATCATCTTGTCACATCCTTAAGTATTTTCAGCTGTGAGTATCCATGAGAATGCCAAAGATTCAGAACCATTTGAGTGAAGTAATTTCTTTTTATCTCAGTCTTAAATGATTGGTCACTTAACTGAATTGTGACCCCCATGTTTTAGGTTCCCCAACCAGCAGATACAATCTTTCAGCCTGTGATCTATCAAGTTTCCTTCGTATCTTATATACCTCAATGTGATCATCTCTTTATTCTTCTACCAACTCCAGACACTAAAAACCCACTTTATTCTGCCTCTCATCACTGGATAAGCCCCTCATCCCAGGGACAGATTTAATGAATCGTCACTGTACTATCTCCAGTGCAGGTATGCCCTTCCTTAAATGTGGGGACGAAAACTGTGTACAGTAGTCCAAATGTAGTCTCACCAAAACCCTGCAGAATTCAGACATCATCATACAACAGGTAAGAACATAAGGAATAGGAGTGGGATTAGGCCATTCAGTCCCTCCAGCCTGACCCCCCCCCATTCAACAAGGGCAAGTTTGACTGCCCTAGGCCTTGATTCTTCTTTTGCGCCAACTCAGCGTAGCTGTCATCTCCCTGATATTTCAAAATTCCCTGTACCTCCTCTTTAAATACTTTGTGATCTATCTTCCACAACACTCTGTGATAGGGAATTCTAGACATTTACGGCATAAAATTCCTTTGCATCTCAGTTTTAAAAGGGTGGCCCCTCATTCTGTAACTGTGTTCTCAAGTTCAACATTCTCCCACGAGTGGAAACAGCTTCTCAACATCTACCCCTCAAAATCTCGTATGTTTGTATGATGGTGGCCTAATGATAATATTACTAAACTAGTAATCCAGAGGTTACTGCTTTGGGGAGATGGTTCAAACCCCACTATGGCAGGTCATGAAATTTTAATTTAATTATTAAGATCTGCAATTGACGCCAACTCCAGTAATGTTGACTAGAAACTTTCTTCAATTTTCATAAAACTATGCCTATTTCTCTAATGTTATTAGAGAAAGGAAATCTATTGGCCTAACCTGGTGTAGCCTACATGTTTTATTGTATTCATTCAAAGGATGTGGGTGTTCCTGGCTAGGCCAGCATTTCTTGCCCGTCCCTAGTTGCCCTTGAGGAAGTGGTGTTGAGCTACCTACTTGACTGCTGGAATTCATGTGCTGTAGTTAGATCCACAGTGCCCTTAGAAAGGGGCATCCAGGATTTTGACTCAGTGACACTGAAGTAATATGATGTATTTCCAAGTCAGGATGGTGAGTGACTTGGAAGGGAACTTACAAGTGGTGATTTTCCCCATTTATCTGTTGCTTCCAGTAGGACATGGTCATGAGTTTGGAAGATGCTGTTAAGGATCTTTGGTGAATTTCTACAGTGCATCTTGTAGATAGTACACACTGCTGCTACTGAGCATCGGTGGTGGAGGGAGTGAATGTTTGTGAATGTGGTGCAAATCAAATGGGTTATTTATGCTGGATGGTGTCAAGTTTCTTGAGTGTTGTTGGAATGGGTCTTATCCGGGCAAGTGGAGTCTATTCCATTATACTTCTGACCAGTGTTTTGTAGATGGTGGACAGGCTCTGGGTTGTCAGGTCGAGTTTTAAATTAGTTTCAATGGGTTTAAAGTAATAGGCAAAAAAAAAACAGATGAAGTGAATCATTTTAAGTGGTGAATTTTTTTCAATCAGGAATGTGCTGTCTAAAAGGACAATGAAAGTAGCTTTAATGAGAACTCAACAAAGAGGAAATGGATAAAGAGGAAAAATTTACAGCGCTATGTGGAAGGAGTGAGAGCGTGGAACTAATTGGCTCGTTCTCGCCAAAGAGCTACTATAATAATGCCATGGGCTGAATGGTTTCCTCTAGTGTGATGACATTTTAAATTTTAACATAAATTTTTGGTAGAATCGTTGAAACAGTCTTCTGTAATTTATTGAATAAAGGTATATCTAGAAAGTTGTAGTTAATGTTAAATGAATTATAATTGTAGAATAGATAAATGAGACATCCAGAAGTTAAGTTTAAGAATACAGCAGTACTGATAGGCAAACCCATATCCAAACTAGATATTGCAGTCAGCAGTAATTATTATTACAAACTCATGCTTTATGTTGATTTTTGCCAGATTGAGAACTTCATTCACTTCAACACATTGGTTGGTGGTTATAAAGTTGAAATGATATTATTTCTATTCATCTGCATATGGAACTCTCATCCATGCTTCTGTTACCACTGGACTTTTCCTGTGGTCAGCCCAGCATCTTCTCCCTTCATAAAGTGGTGAAACTCTGGTGTCTGTATTCTAATTCTCACCAAGTTCCATTCATTCATCACCCTTGCTGTTGCTGATCTGGCTTTGGATCTGGTATTCTGTACGGCCCCCTCCATATCTATAACCTCCCGTGATTCCTTAAACCCCCTGAGACATCGGGACTCCTCCAAATCTGGTCCCTTGCACCTTTCTGATTCAAATCACTCCACCATTGGTGGTTGTGCCATCATCTTCTAAGGCCGTGAGTTCTGCAGTTCCCTCCCTAAATCTCCTTCCTTATACCTGCCTGTTTCACAAGTGTTTTGCCAACCTGTGCTCACATCTCTTTATATGTCTCAGAGTGAAAACGTGTTAGTACAGCTTTTTGAAGCATTGTGTGAATTTTACTACAATAAATATTCTCTGGAAGCTCTACAGAAAGCATCAACGCTGTCATCCAAAGATTAGCATATAACCCTTGCCTGACATTTCCGGTTCAATAAAACTCCCAGTGAGAACAGGTGGATTGCTGCACTGCCAGAGGTGCAGTCTTTCAAATGAAATGACAGCTCTTTCATTTGGATTTAGAAGATCCCATGACACTGTTTTGAAGAGGAGCAAAGAGGTTCTACCTAGACACCTGGCAAATATTTATCAACATCCCTAAAAAATATGAAATAAGTTCCCTTCCAAGTCACTCACCATCCTGACTTGGAAATGTATCATATTACTTCAGTGTCACTGAGTCAAAATCCTGGATGCCCCTTTCTAAGGGCACTGTGGATCTAACTACAGCACATGAATTCCAGCAGTCAAGTAGGTAGCTCAACACCACTTCTTCAAGGGCAACTCGGGACGGGCAAGAAATGCTGGCCTAGCAAGGAACACCCACATCCTTTGAATGAATACAATAAAACATGTAGGCTACACCAGGTTAGGCCAATAGATTTCCTTTCTCTAATAATATTAGAGAAATAGGCATAGTTTTATGAAAATTGAAGAAAGTTTCTAGTCAACATTACTGGAGTTGGCGTCAATTGCAGATCTTAATAATTAAATTAAAATTTCATGACCTGCCACAGTGGGGTTTGAACCATCTCCCCAAAGCAGTAACCTCTGGATTACTAGTTTAGTGATATTATCATTAGGCCACCATCATACAAACATACGAGATTTTGAGGGGTAGATGTTGAGAAGCTGTTTCCACTCGTGGGAGAATGTTGAACTTGAGAACACAGTTACAGAATGAGGGGCCACCCTTTTAAAGAAGTTTGGGACCTTGTTGTCAGCAAATTGGTTCCCACATCTCCTATATTACAAAAGTGATATCACCTCAAAAGTTGGTTTAAAGTGCTTTGGGACTGCAAAAGAGTATAAAAACCACTGTACAAATGCAATTCTTTTTATACCATGTACATGGAGTCAATATCACCTAAAAACTATTGCAAACAAAATACAATTGCCAAACTGTGTGAGATACACTTGAAGTATTATTGTGAACTAATAAAACATTTGATGATCAACTTTGAAAAATCCCTTGATCCCTAAATGGATTATATTGTGAACCATCACCCAGTGATGCAGTACATTCCAAATACGATACACCATAGTTACAGTAACACTGATTGGGTAATCCATGAGGTCATCTTATAGTGAATGGTATAATATGAGTTTTTTTCATCTCAGCTCTCATTGTAAGGGCTCCTCTTGTGACCTACATGTTGAAAATAGTTCTTAAAGCAGGGCTTATAATTTTTTCTGACAGCACACATCCGTAATATCTTAACCATAACAACTGTCACACAGTTCTTCACAAAGAAATGGAGTATTAATAGCCTATAGAATTATGGAATTAAATTAGTACTCCTCACTCCCCTGCCTTTCACTGTATTATTTACCTTTTCATATGTTTCTTATTGAAATTCACAATTATCTTTCGCTAGCTGACTCCGCTCTGCTCTCAGACGATGTATTCCATGTCCTAATATCCCATTGTGGAAACAGTTTCTCCTAATAACCTTTGGTTATTCTGCTGCCCTCTTAAAATGTGAGTTCATATTATGTTTTTTAATTAATGAAGGCAGGTCAAGTTTTCCAAAAACAGATTTTAAAAGTAACAGACTAACATCCCTTTCCTCTTTGATTGTGGCCTTGGGAATTGTGCAGTTATTTCCTACTCAACAAAACACCCTTCCACAGTCTGGATGTGAATGTTTTGGAGAGTATGGAAGTACAATGACATTCAATCAGGGATACAGAGCATGGCATTAAACAGAAAACAGAAATGAGTGTCTGCAGGTTTAATAATCCTCTGCCTACAGCCACTGTTCATGAGTGGTATAATTCAGCTCCCGGCTTTAAGTTGTCTCTGTTCTAACTGAAAACCAAGAGCACTGAAACTGCACAGTTCTAATGTCATAGAATCATGCACCATAGAAGAGGGCCACTTTGCTCATTGTGTTTGTGCTGGCTCTGTGAAATAGCTGTCCATTTGGTCCCACTCCCCGCTGCTGTTTTCCCACATAGCCCTGTAGATCATCGCTTTGGAAGTGTTCATCCAAATCTGCTTTTACTATCCTTTCAGGCAGCACACTCTAGATCACAAAAACTCACTTGTAAGAGTCATTTACTTCATCTCGCCATCAGTTCTTTGGATAATTTTCTTAAAGTATACACAGTGTTTTACTTCTTTTCCTGATTGAGAAAGAGAAGCCATTTCTATCTGATTGGCCAATAGCTGGTGATGAAAAATCACCTTCTCACTAATTTGCTCCCTTCTTCTAACTTTGGTCTTTACAACATGCAGTAAATGCATTGGGTTAGAGAACCTGAATGTTGTAAGAAATATATAAATATATTTCAATTACTATACATCAAATTGGAAATGATTTTCTGAATTATTGGGAAAAGGCCAATCTAGAAGCGTTGGTAAAGAAAGTGAAACAATTTTTTATTGAAGTTTTCATAGCTTCTGAACATCCTGAAGAGCTTTGCAACCGAATTGTAGTCATTTTGGAGTTTAGGAAAGCACTATGTTGTATGAGGAAACGGATTTGAAAGAGTTAATGTTGGAGACTGAGTTACCCAATCTGATGATCTCATACAATTTTGGGTAGAGAATTGGAAGGATAGCTCTGGATCTTGAAAGTTATCACTGTCTCCCAGTAGTTTTAATAATATTGTCCACATAGGTATTTTTAATTAACCTGTTCAGGGATGTTATGATGCAGGTGGGACATGAACCCCAATCTTCTGGGCCAAAAAGGTAGGGACACTACCACTGTGCCACAAGAGCCCCAAAGAGCTAACATAACTTGTAGCTAATTGCTATCATGTCATAAACTCTATTTGTTGAAATAAGAATAAGCCTCAAAGGTAGTTGCTTCTCTACCACGAGTAAACTAGTTGAGCACTTTGGCCCAGTCACAGAAATAGGAATGTTTACCATATCCTTCTACCCACAAATACCATATGCAGCAGTCAGTCTGAGCACAGTAAGCTCTCACAGTGAGCATACTGCTAATGATCTGAAACTCTATTTTTGCAATCTTGGTTATGGGATAAACATAAGAACATAAGAACTAGGAGCAGGAGTAAGCCATCTGGCCCCTCGAGCCTGCCCCGCCGTTCAATACGATCATGGCTGATCTTTTTGTGGACTGAGCTCCACTTACCCGCCCGCTCACCATATTTCCTTAATTCCCTGACTGTTCAAAAATCTATTATCTTTGCCTTAAAAACATTCACAAGCCAGCCTCAACTGCTTCACTCGGCAGGGGATTCCACAAATTCACAAGCATTTGGGTGAAGAAGTTCGACCTCAACTCAGTCTTAAATCTGCCCTCCCCTATTTTGAGGCTATGCCCCCTAGTTCTAGTTCTACCCACCAGTGGAAACAACCTCCCTACTCCTATCTTATTTATTCCCTTCGTAATTTTAAATTCTAAATTCCGAAGAGTATAATCCCAGCCTACTCAATCCCTCCTCATAAGCCAACCCTCTCAATTCCGGAATCAACCTGGTGAACCTCCTCTGTACCCCCTCCAATGCTAGTACATCCTTTCTCAAGGATGGAGACCATAACTGTACACAGTACTCCAGATGTGGCCTCACCAACACCCTATACAGCTGCGGCATAACCTCCCTATTTTTCAGCTCCATTCCTCTAGCATTAGCTAACACTTCCCTGCTCTTCTTTGTAATTATGACTGGGAGCTTTAATTTCCACCTCAGAGAGCTGATTTGCTCAATGTCTTATCTGACAGATAGCACTTTCAACAGGCCAGTTTTTCCTTCTTACAGCACTGGCAGGGTCAGCCTACCTTTTGAGCACAAGAGTCTCAGCTTAACCTACAATCTTCTGATTCTCTCAAACTTTTGAGAGCACCACAGCTTGGTCATGGCTGAGATTATTATTATTGCTGTAAATCTCTGTGGTACCTTATCAAATGAAAATCCATTAAAATCACTCCCACTGCATATTTTATCTCCTATCACTCTTTATTTCTTCAAAGAATTCTTTAAATTTTGTCAAGCATGAGATCTGTTTATTTTAGTTAACTTCTATTTCTCCAAATGCTCAGTAATTTCTTCCTACATTAGAATCTCTGTTGTTTTACCAACAACTTGAGTTAAGACTCCCTAGGTTTTGATTTCCTGTCTGTCTGCAAATCTTTGCCATCTTCTACCATATTTTATATCATCATATTCTGAGCTTTCACTTCCTCAGCACTCTTAAGATGCAAATTAAAGTGTCACATTTATTTTGTTTAAGTTAGAGTGACCTCCTTACAACACTTCCCTTTGAGTGCAAGGCCCCACTAATAATTCTCTAGTCCCTGCTGTTGGGCCAAAGTCCCAATGACTTACATTTGTAATATTTATTGTTCTGTTTTAATGGAATGTACACAGAACAAATGTTTCCTATTGTGGGGAAGAGCAAAAGTTGAAGCCATCCATATAAAGTAGTCACCAAGGAATCCAAAACGGAATTCAGAAGGATATTCTTTGCCCAGATTGGTGAGAATGTAGTACTCACTAACACTGGTTAAGATGAATATGTTTAAAGTGAAACTAGACAGACAGAAAAGGGAGAGGGGAATTGAGAGTAATGATGATCGAATTGGATATGGAAGGAGACTCAAGTAGAGAATAAATGCAAGCCTGCAATGTTTGGCCTTAAAGGTCTCTTCCATGTTATTTTCTATGTAGCGATTCTGTCAACCTCTCTTATATAGATTTATAGTTTGTTTTATAGTTATCCCACAATCAACACACAAAAAAACAGATAACCTGGCTATTACCTCATTGCTATTTGTGGGAACTTCCTGAATGCAAATCACCTTCTTGCTTCTTACATAATGGGGACTCCCATTTCAAAAATAATTGGCTGTATTTGGGGTGTCTAGAAGTCATAAAAGCTACTGTCTTTATGTTGCTCATTTTTCGTTTTGATTTACATCCTTTCCATTAACTGTTAGTCTATGTGTTGCTTCTATCAATGCTTCCTGCTATTTGTTCTGGGCAATACTATATAGATAAACTGCGGGAAGAAGTCAAGTAACAGTTACTGACCTGTTGGACATGTGGTGTTCTGAATTTTTGCAGCGGTTCCCAGCAGACAAAGCTTATTTTATCGCCAAAGAAATTTCCACTACAGAACGAACCTACCTTAAGGATCTTGAAGTCATCACATCGGTAAGGAGCAACTCTAACTAACTAAGTAACTAAGGCAGTAACTGTGTGTTTTACAGGAAGGTCAAGTGTTGCTGTATTCGTGATAAAGAATGGGGAAGAGGCACCTTAAGTTTTCTGATTTTGCTGAGAGCTGAAAATTCCTTTTGTTTGCTGTTTAAAAATGCTAATCCCTTCAATGACTTGAGAGGGGAGTTTCACTGGTTGATTTATTACATTGCCTGGCTGTCTGAATCATGGTCTGTTTTTCTGTCTCTGGCATGACTGTTTTTCCTCTGTGTGCCTTTGTGTTCGTCTGTAACTTTTTGTGTCTGTTTGTATATGTCTGTGTACACATTTGTAGAAGTATATCTGTGCATATGTGTACATGAATGTCAGTGTATATCTGTGTGCCTGTGTACTTGATTGTTAGTATATATCTGTGTGTTTGTATACAAGTATGTAGTTGTATATTTGTCTGTCTGTGTACACATATATAGGTGTATATCTGTGTGTATGTACATGAATATCAGTGTATAGCTGTGTGTCTGTGTACATGTATGTAGGTATATACTTGTGTATCTGTGTACATATATGTTGGTGTGTGTTTGTGTACATGTATATAGATGTATGTCTGTATGTTTGTTTATAGGTGTATATCTATGTCATGCTACAGGTGACCCCACCATATTGTGTCTGTAAAATCTTCCTGTTTTGACAGCATCACTTTAATAAGTTGTTATGATCTCTCTACCTTGATTAGTTTGTACAGTTTTGAGTTCAGCATGCGATTCCAGTCATTTAGTTAGTCTCCAGCACCACCTTATTTTTAAGTTTTTGTAATTATCTCTCTGCCTCACTTAGTCGGATTATAGGTCATCCCTTCACTGGCTATTCAGCTGTTGACACTTTCTTCACCGTTTAACACTCTTGGTCATCTGCAGAGACTTATCATCTGACACTCCACCCACACCAGTTGTACGATCTTTTGATCTCTCTGCCTATAAACTCTGGGTCCGTGTGATGTGCTCTGTCACTGCACCTGATGGAGGGGCTGCGCTCCTGAAAGCTTGTGTGACTCCAAATAAGCCTGTTGGACTATACCCTGGCGTGGTGTGACTTCTGACTTTGTCCACCCCAGTCTAACACCGACAGCTCCACATCGTGCAGATCATGATGTTCATGCATCTGCTGTCTTGTCCTTCTAAAGGGGGTAGAGGTTGGGGGTTTGGCTGGTCGTGTTAAAGGAGCCTCAGTGAGTTACTGCATTGCCTGTTGTAGAAGGTACACACTGCTGTTACCGAGCATCGGTGGTGAAGGAAGTGAATGTTTAATTTGGTGCCAGTCAAATAGGCTGCTTTGTCCTGGATGGTGTCAAGCTTCTTGAGTGTTGTTGGAGCTGCACCCATCCAGGCAAGTGGGGATTATTCCATCACACTCCTGATTTGTGTTGATAGCAAACAAGCTTTGGAGAGACAGGAGGTGAGTGACACCATTTGCCATCATTCCAAACAGGCAGTTCCACAATAAAATCTCTTATCTTATTCAACCAAAGATATTGTTCATTCTTTGTGGCACAGATGTATTATTTAAACTTGGTAAAATTGGTAGAATTAAGGTGCTGGTTATTGACTTCTGGTTCAAGTTCATCCGCAAAACAAGGAAAAATGAAGAATCTTAGTTAAAAACGGCAGAGTTCCATGATGTTTAAGATTATTATTGTAGGTTTTGTCGAAATAACTTTACTCTCCCCACCCCTCCTCTACTAACCAACTTCAGCCCTGGTGCTCCACCCGCCAAAGATGTCCTCATCCCCCTTAATTCTGACCTAATGTGCATTCTGGATTTTAATCAGTCCATCATAGACCTTCCGCTGACCAGCCCTGTAATTACATCCTGAAATCGCTCTCTGCTTCTGTCTCCTTTTGACCCCTTCACATGATTTGGTCACAAATTTTGTTTCACAACACCTTTGCGAGGTGCTATATAAATGCAGGCTGTTGCATTGCAAATGTTGGTTAAGGAGAAACCTTGAGATAAATGCACATTTCTTTCAAAATCATTTTCTCTGATATCTGTTGTTTCTTGGATAAATATTTAACCAAGTGCAGCATTCCTCCCACTAAAGTTAGACATTGGAACAAATTGATTCAGTTTCAAAATTATTTCAAAACAGGAAATTGAATAAAAGGAAAAGATTAGGTTTGACCCTTATCAATTTTATTACAAATGCTCTGAAAAAACAATTAAATTCCATCCTGTAACCATTAACCTGTCCTAGACTGACAAGACTCTACAATATAATTGCTTGTGTGTCGCATTTTACTGTCTATTTCACAATGATTCCATTATCTGTTTAATTTACTTAATAACATTGGAAATTTGCAACATAACAGCCATGAATAATTGCTCAGATTAATCCCTAGCAATGGCTATTCATGGGATACAAGCAATTTAGTACAAATTCACAGGAGTCACAAGTTAGATCTGGATAAAGACGGCTCTTTTAGCTCACTCAACCTTGTCAGTCCAGAATGTCTATTCCAACACCTCAGTTCGACCAAAGTTCATGCGCACAATCTAGTCTGTATGAAGATAGTGGTATAATGGTATTGTCTCTGGACTAGTCATCTAGGTGCCCAGGCTAATGCCCCAGGGGCATGGGTTCAAGTTCTGCTATGGCAGCTGGTGGAATTTAAGTTCAATTTTCAAAAAAACTCTCTCCGTTAGCAGAGACTACTCCACATCAGTTGTGAAGAATCTTCTTAATTTTAATGAATGACTGTGTGCATATTGGTTGCATGTAACCTTTACTGTTCCTGTAGTCCAGTAACCTCAGAATCAATTATTCCCACCGTGTGTTTTCGTTATCTCTCCTGCAGTGTTTTCAAAGTGCTGTGGCCAAAGATGATGTAATGCCAGAACCGTTGAAAACTTTGCTGTTCTCGAATTTTAATCCACTGTACAAGTTCCATACTGGCTTTCTGAAGGAGATTGAGCAAAGACTTGCACTTTGGTAAGGCCTTTGTTGCATTTGGGAAAACATCTCCCGGATTCCCTTTTCACCTCCAATGATTATATCCCCAGACATTAAATTGTTCCATCAAAAAAGCCAATACAAGTTGCCAGCTGAGTATTTTTTGCTGTTACTTGCCACCAAAGAGCCCGAGTGCTGTGAAACCAGGTGTGAGACTATTGCTGTGAGACCCTTCCATTTCAAATGCCTATGGTTTGCAGTTCATGTTTTAAGAATAGCCTAGTGTTGCTCAGGATTCCCACTCTGACAAAACAGAACCTATTACATTTGCCTCTGTGTTCTCCGAGCCTTCTCTGGACTGGTTGAACCTTTCCTTGACTCATCCATTGACTTTCCAAACAGTCAGCAGCAGACATTGTCATCATCAGTGACAATTTCCAAGGTAAACCAAAGAAAACCAAACTGCGGATGGTAGAAATCAGAATCAGAATTGCTAGAAAAACTCAGCAGATCTGACAGCGTCTGTATAGAGAAAGCGGAGTTAATGTTCAGGTCCAGTGACCCTTCAAAGCATTTCTGAAGAAAGGTCACTAGGCCCGAAACATTAAATACAGCTTTCTCTCCACAGAAGTTGCCAGACCTGCTGAGTTTTACCAGCAATTTCTGATTTTGTTTCACTGTTTCCCAGTTGCATATATCAATGGCCACCATTCTTGTATCTCATTTGCAGGGGTCCTTGTAAATGGAGGTTTGGATCCTCCCACTTTAAGTCTATACCGTGGCTGCAAAGTAAGTGCAGAAGTGTCGGATCCCAATTTCTTTCTGAATATCAAAAGACAGAAACAAAAATACCGGAACCTATTTGCCTGGTTACTTCGACATTTTCAAACCATCTGTCAGTACCTTGAGATTGACTTGCCCAGTGAATAATGCACAGGGAGAGGGAGTTTTTACTGTGAATGTGAGAACAAAAATCACAGATGATTTGTTGTAATCTGGATACAGCCTGAAAGGGCAGTGTAAATAGATTCAGTAGTAACTTTAAAAGAGGAACCAAGTTAAAGTAAAATTCCAGGGTTGTGGTATAGAGACATTGGAGTGGGGCTAATTGGATAGCCCTTTCAAAGCAATGTTTAGGCACAATGCCACCTTTTGTGCTGTAAGATACGATTGATTCAGTTCTAAGTTTGGGCAAAATTGGATGCACTGGTAAAGCTCCTGTTTGTTGTCAATGGATGGGCATCAAGAGGGATTATGCTTTAAAATGTGTTTTTTTTACAAAACAGTGCGACTGGCACTTTCCAGCTAAATTCCTCTTTAAAGCCAAAGCACATGTGACTAGGACATTTTCTGAAAGGTTTTGTTTTCACCCATGAGAGAAACGAAGGGAGAAGGCGTTCCGGTGGGAGGAAATTTCCTGCAGTTTTGTTTGTCATCGGCTTCTAAGGATTTTACTCCAAGCAATTCCCACTGCTTGGGAATGACAGTGGCTCCCACACAGACAGTGGGATCAATTCTCTCCGCTTGGGAATGACAATGGCTGCTTTGCCCACATGGACAGTGGGATGAGAGCGGGCAGAGTGATTTCATCAGCAGTGATCCAGCTGGAGACACCCTTGAGGGCCTGGAATGTAACTATTTTCTTGTTCTGCAGGCAGTCGGGCAGTATTCGATTAAAAAGATGTTACATTCCTTTGACTTTGTAGACACAGCACAGCAGCAAGTGTACAAATCAGAAGACCACTTAACCTCCCGGTTACCATTATTTGTATATAATCTTACCTTCAAATAAATAAGCCATGTTATTATCTTACCAATGGCAGTTGTATGGCGCATTCCTGATAAAGAGAACACAATCTTTCAATCAGGCTCTCTTCAACCGTACAGCTGCAAATAAGATTAAGATTGAAAAGAGTCGAGGTAGCTCAACTGTCTGCAACTTTGAGAAGGTGAAGAATATAGATTGAAGTCTGCAGAGTTGAACAGATGAACAGTCCTGGAACATTAGGTTGAGAGATGGTCACAAGAATGAAGGAAGAACAAACGGGACATTTAATGCACAAAAGGTGCGAGAAATTTTAAAAATAAGAGGAGCAATAACTGAAAATATTAAACCAAAAGAGTGATTATAGGCTGGTTAACGTTTGGGTAACCAATCTATTGTTTTATATAGAACTCTAGAATTTTAATTACAATTTTATTATTACAATTTTAAGAACAATATTTTGAGCATTGTATAAGTTAAAACTAATATTCATAAAAAGAATTGGGAATTGTTCTAATTCTTCTTGTGGTGAATAATGTTGATCTTTAAAGTTATAGGAAATGTTGTTTTATATACATTTCTTCATGTTTTTTTTGTTTCTCTGTACAATCACAGGGAAGGAAGATCAAATGCTCATATTAAAGGCGATTACCAAAGGATTGGAGATGTGATGCTAAAAAATCTGCGGAGTATGAAGGTGAGTGTCTACGCTCACAACATTCAAAATTGTGTGTATAAACTATATAAAAACTTAAAAAAACAATATCAACACTTGCAGTGTGATTCCCTGATTGGGCATCACTTGATGAACAATCCTAATAGCTACAAAACAACTAATTTAAGAGTTGATAATGTATGCATATTAGAGTGACATACATTTAGAAGCAGGACCCCATCGCTATAAAGAAGAGGAATATGTTCCAGCCTTACATTTGTTTTTATTTATCTGGGATCTGTAGTACCTCATTGGCCAAGGCATTGTTATTAGTGAAACAGAGTAAACTTTACAATTAGCACCTTTTTCTCCTGAAGAAGAACTGTTGTGATCATTTCAAATTTGACATTGCAGTTGGCCTTTTGTGTGAAAGATGAAAAGCTTTGGCAACATGTTTCTCCTTTCTCAGGTTTCTGTACTACTTAAGTAAAATGTCATTAAACTGGGTTTGATTATACATTGATGATGGTGTTGCAGTCTTACCTCTGTGTCAAAGGATTGGATGTTCACATCTCACTCCAGAAACTGATCACAGCAATCGATGCTGACACTCCCAGTGGAGTACTGAGAGAGTGTTCCCTTGTTGGAGATGCTATTGTTCAGGTGAGAAGTCAAAATGAAGCCCTGTCTAACCACATAGATTGATGTGAAAGCTCCCATGTTACTATTGGAAGAAAAGCAGGCGATTTCTCCTCATTGTTCTGGCCAACATTCATCTCCCAAAGGACGTTGCTAAAAATAGATTATCATTAATTACCTGGCTGTTTGTGAGACCCTACTGTACACACAGTGTCTCTTGCACTTCTTACCACATCAGTGACGAGGTTCTTCATTGCGAAGCATGTCAGATGTCTTGAAGTCATGAAATACATAGTAGAAATGCACTTTTTGTTTAGTCTCATCACAGACAAGCTATTAGGTTTCCCAAAACCTGGGTAACCCAGAAAGTCTGTAATTAAACGGGAAATGCAGATCAAAGTCTGAAGCTTTCAGCCTCCTTAACATAATTGAAGTGACAAATATCTCCTGCGATGGAATTCCCAGTGGAGGGAAGTCCAGAATTCTGCTTCCCAGCACATATGGAATATTTACCCATTGACAACCTCACCTTCACCAGTGCCCAATCCTACCCATTCTGGGTAGTTGATGGAATATTGGTAATGTCAGTCTACAATTCATCCCAGACTCCCGGCTAATATTCTGTGGATTGAGGTTAAAATCCCACTTTGGCCTTTGATGAAATTTGAATTTGATACAAATCTGGAAATGAAAAGCTAGCCTAAAGAAGACTGTCAGCAATTGTTATAAGAGTCATAAATGTCCTTTAGGGAAGGAAATCTGCCATCCTTACCTGGTCTGGCCTACCTGTGACTCCAGGACCACACAAACGCAGTTGACTCTAAACAGCCCTTTGAGCAATTAGGGATGGGCGATAAATGCTGGCCTAGCCAGCAATGCCTACACGCTATGAATGAATAATAAAAATAAATTCAAAGGCCCCCTGAATTGTGAGACTGCAAATATGGCAAGGGAGATGTTTCTAACATGCTCCAATAGACAGGAAACCCAAGTAATGCTCAGAGGACGAGCCATCCGTGCTGACAGGCTGTTTATTGTAGTGTTCCATAACGGGCTCTGTTCATTTCTTATTGTTGCAGCAATTTTCAGTGCATCTACAGAAGCACGGTGAGATTCTGATGGAGCTGGAGAAAGCTATCCGTAACTCCAGGAGGCTGGAAGCTGTGTGCTGGGACTTTGAGCAACAGAAAGTCTGCTACCTTCCCCTCAACATATTTTTCCTGAGGCCCCTCCACCGGCTGATGCATTACAAGCAGATCCTGGAGAGGCTGTGCAAACACTACCCGCCCACTCACGTAGACTTCCGAGATTCGCGAGGTAGGGACGTGAATCTGAGCACAGAACCGTTTGCAGTATGTGTTCGATGATTCTTAGGCTGTGGCAGATTGCTAAATCAATCCAGAGGGTCCCACACACAGACACACAGACACGCATGTGTATATACACACATTCATACAGACACAGACACGCACGTGTGCACACACTCTCATTCACTCTCTCTCATACACACACAGACACAGACACGCATAGCGCAAACACACATACACGCACACATACACGCACACACATGCACGCACGCGCGCACACACGCACGCACGCGCACACACACAAACCTACACGTACACATGCACACGCACACATATACAGGCACACATGCACACGCGCACACACATGCACATGCGTGCGCACACACATACATGCAAACATGCACACGCGCGCGCACACACACACACACACTCACACACACATCCCTCGATTCCTGGAGCCCTGCAAGAGCATTAAATGCCCATCCAATTCTATTTTGAAGTCATTTATTGTCTTTGATTTCATTAGGATTGAATTCTAGTTCATTAACATTCCTTACATCTTCCTCCCATCCCCCCGAATAATATTGAACAGTACAGTACAGGAACAGGCCCTTCAGCCCACCATTTCTGCACCAACCGTGATGCTATTCTAAAATAATCCCATCTGCCTGTACACGGTCCATATCCCTCTATTCACTGCCTTTCATGTGTCTGTCTAAATGCCTCTTAAATGTTGCTATGGTATCTGTTTCTACCATCTCACCAGGCAGCGCATCCCAGGCACGTAATACCCACTGTGTAAAAAAAAAAAAAAATTGCTCCTCAGACTCCAATGCTCTGGTGAAAACAATCCAAGTTTGCCCAACCACTCCTTATAGCTAATACACTAATCCAGGTAACATCCTGGTAATCCTGTTTTGCACCATCTCCAGAGCTTCCACATCCTTCCCACAACGTGGTGACCAGCTGCACACAATGCTCTAAATGTGGCCTAACTGGCATTTTATTACAGTTGCAACAGCCTTGCCGATCTTTTTACTCAGTGCCCTGACTAATGAAGGCAAGTATGCGGTATGCCTTCTTTACTATCTTATCCACTTGTGTTGCCACTTTCAGGGAGCTATGGACTTGCTCTCCAAGATCCCTCTGTATATCAATGCTGCTATGGGTCTGCCATTTACTGTATACTTTCCTCTTGCATTTAACTTCCCAAAATGCATCACCTCACACTTGTATGGATTACACTCCATCTGCTGTTTCTCCACCCAACTTTCCAACTGATCTATATCCTGCTGTATCCTTTGACAACCTTCCTCACTATCCACAACTCCACCAATTTTCATGAAGTCTGCAAATTTATGAATCAGACCACCTGCATTTTCATCCAAGTCATTTATATACATACAGTCAATGGAGGTCCCAGCACTGCTCCTTGTGACAAACCACTCGCTGCAGACTATTAGTCAGAACAACATCCTCCACAACTACCCTCTGTCCTCTATGACCAAGCAGTTTTGTATCTAACTTACCGACTCGCCATGGATGCCATGTGACTTAATCTTCTGGACCAGCCTACTATGAGGGACCTTGTCAAATGCTTTAGTAAACTCATGCCCTCATCAATCTTCTACGTCACTTTCTCAAAAATTTCAGTCAAATTTGTGAGACAAGACTTCCCCCACACAAAATCACGCTGGCCATCCCTAATAAGTCCATTCTTCTCCAAGTGCAAGTAAATCTTGTCCCTAAGCATCTTCTCCAATAATCTCCCTACCACTGTTGCAAACCTCACTGGTCTATAATTTCCTGGATTGTCCCTGTTGCGCTTCTTAAGCAAAGGAACAGCATTGGCTATTCTCCAGTCATCTGGGACCTCACCTGTGGCTAAAGAAGATACACGGATCTCTGTCAAGGCCACAATAATCTCCTCCATTGCCTCCCTTAGTATCCTGGGATCGTTCCCATCAGACCCTAGGAACCTTAAGGTTTTTCAAAACACCTAACACCACCTACTTTTTTAATGCTGACATGGCCTAGAATATCAACATACCCCTCCCTAATCCTACAATCATCCATGTCCTTCTTGCTGAATACTGATGTGAAATACTCCTTAAGGACCTCACCCATTTCTTCGGGCTCCAAACATAAATTTCCTCCTTTGTCCTTGAGTGGACCTACACATTCTCTAGTTACCCTCTTGCTCCTAATATACATATAAAATGCTGTGGGATTCTCCTTAATCCTACTTTCCAAGGATCTTTCATAGCCCATTTTAGCCCTCCTAATTCCTTGTTTAAGTTCTTTCCTGTTTCCTTTAAATTGCTCAAGGGCCTTGTTTGATTTCTCTGACAAAAACCTTCAATTTGTCTCCCTTAGTCAGTGTCCTCATGGAAACAGCTTTTCCTTGTCGATCTGATAGAAACTTGTGCATTGCTGTCAAATGTTCCTCCAACTTCTTAAGCTCCAAGGAGAATTGCCCCATCCACCTTGTAGCTTGTGTCCTTCATCGTTAGTAAATCTCTGTGTTTTCTCAAGGACCCTTACATCCTGGCTAAGATATGGTGACCAGAACTGGATACAGTTCTCGAGTAGCAACCTAACCATGGTCTCTATAAAGGTTCATTATAGTTCCTCTGCTTTTATATTCCATAGCTCTATATAGGAAGCCCAAGATGGTGTGTCTTCATAGCACAACGCACAGAGTTTGTAGTAATGTGGTTGGATTGTGTTAATGTCCCCTTTCTCCACTGAGACTTAACGTAATACAATGAAAGGTCTAAATGGTCTTGAACTGGTGATTGGAACTCATAACTCCAAGTGAGTGGCTGTGTGAACATTATGCTAAATAAACATCATATATGAAATAACTTGTACCAGTGGCAGAAAACAGGTGTTTATTTATCCAGTGTGAGGCCTCAGTGACTCAAAAACAGCAGTTCCAAGTGTGTATTCTGTTGTTTGATAGTTTTTGTGTAAACCTTGCACAGTCCTGTATTCTATTATTTGTAGCCTATACTCTTACTTTTGTATATAAAAGTGTAGAAGTTATGAAGAGGACATAAGGAGTCTGTGAAGGGATATAGTTAAATGAAGTTAGTAGGGAGAAGTTTGGCAAGTGAAGTATAATGTGGGAAAGTGTGAACTTGTCCACTTTGGCAGGAAGAGTAGAAAAGCAATATATTATATGAATGGAGAAAGCTTACAGAACTCTGAGGTACTGGGTGTTCTAGAATCATGAAATGTTGATATGAAGGTTCAGCAAGTGATCAGGAAGGCAAATGGTATGTTGCATTTTTTCATTCACTCATGGGATGTGAGCAATACTGATTGTCCCAGCATTTATTGCCCATCCCTAGTTGTCCTTGAAAAGGTGATGGAGAGCTGTATTCTTGAACTGCTGCAGTCCATTTGTTGTAGGGTGAAGGGGATGTAACAGTAAAATATTTTGCTATCTTTGTAAGGGCATTGGTGAGACTACATCTGAAGTACTGTATAGAGTTTGGTCTCCTTATTTAAGAAAGAATATAACTGCATTTGAAGCAACTCAGAGAAGTTTCACTCAACCGATTCCTGGATTTTGGATGGCATGGAGAGATGTGTTGTTTGTGGAAAGGTTAGACAAGTTGTATCCATTGAAGTTTAGAAGAATGGGAGATGATCTTGTTGAAACGAGATGATTTTGAGGGGATTTCACAAAGTAGATGCTGAATAATGTTTCCCCTTGCGGTAGGAGTGAGAACTGGAGAAAGCAGTTTAAAAATATGGAGTCTCCCAGTTGTGAGGGAGATGAGAATTGTTTTTCTTGCACAGTCTTAAGTCTGTGGAATTCTGCTCCCCAGAGAATGCTGGAGGCCTTGAATATTTTTAAGGTAGATTCTTGTCTAACAAGCGTCTAACAAGAATGGAGTTGAGGTCATAAGCAGATCAATCATGAGCTTATTGAATGACCTCCTCCACCTAATTCATACGTTAACCCAATTCTCATTTTAATTATGGTTGCAGGGAGGCAGGACGTGCTTTCAAGATGAACATGCACTTTGAAAGGTTTGTCTTGATACAACCAGTGATGGGATTAGTCTGGTGCTGTACTACAGAGAAGGAAGGATTAATGCAGAGAAATAAGTTATCCTTGGTTAAATTGGGAATCTGGCTTCCTGTCAGCAATCATGCTGATGACTTGAATTATTTAGAAGCAAATGCTGATTATCCTGAGGTGGGAGATTAATTTTACAAGAACAGAATAATTATAGTGAGTGCGGCATCATTATTCAGAATAAGTATAGGGAAGTGACTTTAATCTAATCACATCATGTGGTAGAGCTGAGGATATGATGCAGAGGTAGAATTTAATGATGTCTCCAGTTCATTGTAATACACGGGCAGCTCTGTGGAAAGCAGCAGAATTTTGAGGCCTGAAGAATTATAAGTCACCGATTAATTTGCCTAGAAGTGTCTAAATAGCAGTGAATGTGATATCATTCCCAAGCTTCACAGCACATTCTCAACAAAATGGTTCAAATAAATCCGAGAGTCTGTTTAAGAATCATGGGTTAGAATCTCCCAATTGTAGTTGAAACTTGCTGGAAAAAGCAGGGGAATGATTCCACATAAACTATTCATTAAAACGAATCTGCATATTACAAATGTAAAACCTTCCAATGACCAGTGCATTTGGGAAGCAGAATAAACTGTAACTCTTTCCATTAGGGAGTATTCCTTGATGCATTTGAGAGAAGGAACCTTGAACGGTTTTATTACTACTGCTTGAAATGTGTTGTATTGCCAAAACGAAAATGGTTTTCAGTGAGACAATTGATTTAAAATCACTGAAAATAACTTTTACAACTATACTGAGCCATTTAGTAGTCTCATTGGTGCACATAGGATGATTTTTGATACAACTGAATCATTGCTAGGCCACTTAGTTTAACTGCCTTGGTTTAATTTCATGGCCTTGCCCCTCCCTATCTCTGTAATCTCTGTTGGCCCTAATATCTCTCTGATATCTCTGCACTTCTCTGATCGCGGCCTTTTTATGAATCCCCAGCCAAGATTCTAAGCTGTTACTTCCTTTCTAAACCTCACCACCAGTGTACCCCTCTCTCTTACTTTAAGTCAACAATCCTTAAAATTAAAGGCTGTATTTGTATTTTTATGTAAGAGACAGGAAGCTTAACAATATAAAATCAATCATTACCTCTCGACAATGAATAAATGTTAGGGTTATTCTAAAGTAGTGTTCCTGCTGGATATGAGGAACAGCCCATGTGAACTGCCACAAGGTGGCAGCAACACACACAAACCACAAAAACAGCATGTCAATGGTCAAAGGATACAACATAGACTTTGATAGACGTATGATTGTTTTTGAAAAAAATATTAAATTGTCTCTACTGTATCATGTTAGAAGGTTTGATGCTGTAAAGACCAAAAAGCCTGCCTTTTAAACCCTTAGAGTTCTGAAAATGTTTTTTTTTTGTGTGTCAAAAATGTTAGCAGTGGCCAATCTTTTTGATTTGATTCAATTGATTATTGCCAATGTACCTAGGTGTAGTGAAGAGTTGTGCAGTACAGACCCTACAAATTGCATTCAGGTAATAGAACAGTTTGAGGAACACAATGTTATGGCTGCAGAGAAGGTGCACAAAGGGCGAGATCAACATTAAATTTAAAATTTGAGAGGTCCATTCAGAAGTCTAATAACAGCAGAGAAGATGCTATGCTTGGACCTGTGGGTGGGTGTGTTTAAGTTTGTGTACCTTCTGCCCAATGGAAGAGTTTAGAAGAGATTATAACTGGAGTGGGAGGGGTCTTTGATGATGTTGGCTGCCTTTCCAAGGCAGCGAGAAGTGTAGATGGAGCCAGAGGATGGCAGGTGGGCTTGCATGATGGACTGGGCTGTGTTCACAACTCTTTGTAGCTTCTTATGGTCCTGGGCAAAGCAGTTGCCATACCAAGCTGTGATGCATCCAGAATACTTTCTATAGTGCATCTATAAAAATCTGGTCATGGTTGTTGTAAAAAAGCCAATTGTCCACTATCTTGAAGAGGATAATCGCTGGTTAGTACAGAACCTGAGCCTTGTTGAGAAAAGAGAGATGCTGTCAAAACTTGTTGGCATTCATCAGGACATTGCAAGAATGCCATATTTGGAAGGGAGCAGCAATTTTAAGAATTATACTAAGAACTAAATTTCAGGTGTCAATTGGGCTTGCACTGTGCCTCGCTTGTATTTACTAGTATCTGCATATCTTCATGCACAGGAACTTGACCTCTGCAGGAAAAAAAGAGATAATGCATCTTTGTAGAACTGAACTGAAGCATGGAGAAACAATAGTTCCCTGGTGTATTCTCCATAGGAACACATCAATCAATCAGAGTTGACTTGCCAACCAACCTGCAGCTTTTTCTCTTGCAGTATATATTGGTGCTTCCTTTGCAATTTGGGATTCTTGTCTCCATCCTGAGGAGTGGAAGACAAAAAGCTTCAACAGGACGTCTTTTCTTTCAGCAATAGTCAAGTAAATCTCTCTTGTGTCCAGGCAAAAAATTATTCCTCAACTAATATTACAAAAATAGATCATCAGGTCACTATCACGTTGCTATTTATGGGAACTTTCTGTATGCAAATTAACTGCTGCATTTTATACTTTACAATGGTGACTACAGTGCAGAAGTACTTCATGGGCTGTCAAGCAGGTTTGGATTGATGCTGAGGTTGTTGTAAGGTGCTACAGAAATGCAAGTCTTTTCTTTTTCTTCCCCTTCTAGCTGCATTAGCAGAAGTAGCAGAACTGGTAGCTCAACTCCATGGCACCATGATCAAAATGGAGAACTTTCAGAAGCTTGTTGAACTGAAGAGGGATTTGATTGGGATTGATAACCTGGTTATTCCTGGCAGGGTACGTTCTTATTTATTAAACTGCCTTTTTTCAAAAAAAGTGTGTCATTTAAAGTATCATTGCAATAGGTGTCAAGTTTCTCTCTCCATCAAGTGAAGCTATTGATCCATCCTGAGCTACCACCCTCCTGGCACTCTCCGAGACTTTGCCTACAATTTTGTCCATGAGGTGTAAGTTTAATCACAGAGCATCAGTGGAAGAGAGCAAAGCCTTAGGCTACCATGAGAAAATAAAATTCAAATCTGATAGGAATTAAATTTCAGAATGCACTTGGTGCTGAGTTAAATTACGCAGACATGATGCATATACCAGTTTTCTAGACAAAATTGCGATTCTAAAGGATTTGATAGAGAGAAACTACTTCCTCTGCTGAAGGGAATCCAAAACGGGGGGAATAACATTGAGATTAGAGCCTGGCCATTCAGTGTAACATCAAAGAGCACTTCCTCACAACCAGGGGGAATGGAAATCTGGAATTTTCTCCCGTAAAAAGATGTTGATGCTGTGAACTAATCGAAAGTGTCATAGTTGAAATTGATACATTCTATTGGGTCAGGGGATTGAGGGATATGGAACCAAGTTGGGTCGATAGAATTAAGGATTGAATTGAATGATGGAACAGATTCAAAGGGCCTGAGCGGCCTCCTATTCCTCAGAGGAAAAATTGGGAGCAAAGAAAGGAAGTTTTGGATCTTTGGCTTTGAGACAGATACGCTTTTGTTACCTTTCTCGATCCGAGACTAAGCTGATATAAGGGGTTAAAAAAAAACTCTTTGTTTATTTCATGGAATGGGGGCATTGCTGGTAAAGCCAGTATTTGTTACAAATCCGAAACAGCTTTTGAACTGAGTGACTTGCCACACCATTGCAGAGAACAGCAGAGAGTCAACCACTTGGCTGTGTGTCTGGAGCAATGTGTAGGCTGGACCTGGTATGGACAGCAGATTTTGTTCCCCTGAAGGACATTACGGAAACAGGTGCACTTTTAAGTAAAAACCGAAAGAACTGCAGATGCTGGAAATCAGAAACAAAAGCAGAAATTGCTGGAAAAGCTCAGCAGGTCTGGCAGCATCATTGGAGAGAAATCAGAGTTAACGTTTTGGGTCTAGTGACCCTTCATCAGAAATGAAATGAAACGTTAACTCTGGTTTCTCTCCAATGATGCTGCCAGACCTGCTGAGGTTTTCTAGATGAACTTTTACATCAGTTCACTGAGACAATATTCCACCTGCTGCTGTGATGGGATGTCCCCAGTGCATTAATCTGGGCCTCTGATATTAACACTATCTCTTGTTTAAGGAGATTTTTGGATCATGAGAAAATAATGTATTTATTATGTTGGTGTTATTTATTCCTGAATATATTAGTATTGATTATTACCTTGTCTGAAGTAATTAGTCTTAGGTCACTTGACCTGAATTTTTTGTACCTAAGATGATGCAGTGTGTGGAGGTATTGGCCACTTTTCATGTACTCTTGTAATTCTGTCGTTGAGTACACATGACAATGAAAAAAAATCTAAATCTAATGTTGTACCACACGTTCAACACTGAGTTCCAAATCACAGATACGAGTGCAGCCAATTTTCAGGTTACATTTTCTCAATACTAGTCACCCTCTGCTAATCCAAAATACTTAAAATTAAAACAGCAAATGTTGGAAACACTCAAACATCCACAGAAAGAGAAACAGAGCTAATGCTCCAACATTGGAAAAAAGTTAGAGATGCAACAGGGTTTTGAACAAGTTGGGAAAAAGAACAAAAAGAGAAGGGCTGTGTTAGAGTGGAAAACGGGAGAGATTAAATGGTGAAAGTATTCACTAAAGGGGGTGGCCATGGGACAAGTAAAGAACAACAAGATGTGCCTAGAAAGGGTGTAAATGGCAGGACAAGGAACAGCTGTCACCTGCGAGTAAAACTAAAAAAAAACGAGGTTAAAATCAAAACTAGCAAAGATCCGGGAAACAAAACAGGCTTCAGAGGTTTACTGTCTGAGATTATCACACACATGTTGATTTGGGAAAGCTGTAAATTGTGAGGCAAGATGGTGTTCCTAGAGTTTACATTGAATTTGTTTGGAACATTGCGGGAGATCAGAGGACAGAGATGCCAATGTGAGAGCAAAGGTGAGAGTTAAAATGGCAGACTTGCAAACTGAATGGAGATGTTCTGCAAAGCGATCACTCAATCTGTGCTAGATCTGTTCACTGTAGACGTGAGCACATTGTAAACTGTGAAGGCAGTGTAGAAAATTGCTTGGTTCGTGAAGAGAGGAGAGGTAAAAGGGAAAATGTTCCATCTTCTGATCCTGTATAAAATACCAACTTGGGAAGAAGAATGGGTGTTGGAATGTTGCAGAAAGAACAGTCCCTTCAGGTACTGAAAGGTGAGGGGGGAAGGAAGATGGGTTTGGTTGAGTGTTGTGACAAGGGACTGAGGGCGGGGGTGTCGCTAGGGATTTGGGGAGCCAGGTTTAAGAGGCCAGGGCAGAGGGTTAAAGGAGGCAAGGTGACCTCGGAGAGCTGTGAGCCCAGGGGGATCCCCAACGGCGGGTACTCCCATAGCCATTGCTGATTTCATTGGGCCTCCTCCTGTCATCAGCAAAGTGACAATGGCAGGCGGATGAACTCTTAAGCGGGCCAGGGTGATCAAGCTGTATGACACTTCTACTGCCTTCTAGAAATTTCTGACAGATTAGGGCTAGGAAGCTATCTGCCAGAAATCCTTCCGCAGGATTTTGTATTCCCACACCATCAGTGGAGCATATAATCCAGACCCTGGTGTGTGGCTAGGTATCAGACTCGGTCTGATTTCTCTCAGGGATACAGGACGTGAATATTGCTGCAATGAGACACAGATTTCTGAAGATGCAGCTGCATGCCTTGTTTTCCAGCAATATTCAGTCTCACGTAGGGCACTACAGAAATGGAAATTAATGTTTTGTAAAATAACCCATGATAAAACCTAGGCACAGCAGAATGAAGAAGCAAATGCCTTTCATTCAGTCATAGCATACACTGTCATAGGTGAAGAATTTTCATTCAGATTTTCAGTCGTTTCACTGAGGCTTTCCCGATCAGTTTCAATAAATTGAAGCAGCACTCTGTGTGAATCCTGAGTCAGCGGCGACTGAATGTACAAATTTGAGGATTGACGTACAGAAGTGTGGAAGTTAGTTTTCACTTGTTCATTCCTGGAATGTGGGTGACGTTGGCCAAGCAGCATTTATTGGTCATTTCTGATTAGCCAGAGGGCAGTTAAAAGTCATAGAGTCATACAGCATGGATACAGACCCTTCAGTCCAACTAGCCCACTCTGACCATGTCCCCAAATTAAACTAGTCTCACCTGCCTGTGTTTGGCCCAAATCTCTCCAAACCTTTCCTACTCAAGTCTACCACATTGGTGGGCTCCCAAAGAGGCCAGACCAGGCATAACACAGTGTGGAGCTGGATGAACACAGCAGGTCAGACAGCATCAGAGAATTAGGAAAGATGACATTTCGGGTCGGGACCATTCTTCAGAAATGGCGAGGGAGATGGGAGCTCAGAAATAAAGAGAGAGAGGAGGGGTGGGGCTCAGGAAGGTAGGTGGGATGGTGATAGGTGAGTGCAGGTAGGGAGTGGTGGGGATTGGTCAGTGAGGTGGGGGGCAGCGGATAGGTGGGAGAGAAGATGGACAGCTTGTATCAGGTCAAGGAGGTGGGGATGAGAGGGAGGGTTGGCCTTGCGATGAGGCCGGGGGTGGGGAGATTTTGAAACTGGTAAAGGCCACATTGAGACCATTGGGTTGTAGGCTCCCGAGGCGGAATATGAGGTGCTGCCTGTCTGATGTGAAAGGTTTGTTTTTTGCCTGGAATGGAGGTAAGGGGGGAGGTGTAGGGACAGGTGTAGCAATTCCTGTGGTTGCAGTGAAAGGTGCCGGGAGTGGTGGAGCAGACGAGGGAGTCGCGGAGAGAGTGGTCCCTACGAAAGGCAGATATCGGTGGGGAGGGAAATATCTCTTTGGTTGATGCTGCCTGGCCTGCTGTGTTCCTCCAGCTCCACACTGTGTTATCTCTGACTCCAGCATCGGCAGTTCTTACCAACTCTCCAGGTAAGAATGGCAGTTTCCTTCCCTAAAGGGCATTAGGGAACCAAATGGGTTTTTCAGACAATCAACAATAACAAGCATTTGACTCGTAATTACAGATCCTTTGAATTGAAATTCTACCATCTGCATTATTCACTAGTGAGCTCCTCAGCATTCCGTCGGGAAAAAACAATCAGAATGTCACCAGACAGCAGAGAATACAACAGTCAGGAGAGACTGAACAAGCTGAAGCTGTATAAGAGGAGGATGAGGAGATAATCTTCTGAATGTCCTCAATGTCATGGAAGTGTTTGAAAAGGTTATCATGGATCATAGAATCCCTACAGTGTGGAAACAGGCCATTCAGCCCACTAGTCCACACCACCCCTCTGAAGAGCATCCCACCCCAACTCATTCCCCTACATTTCCCCATGTCTAACCCACCTAAGCTAAACATCTCTGGACACTACAGGCAATTTAGCATGGCCGATCCACCTACCCTGCACATCTTTGGACTGTTGGAGGAAACCAGAGCACCCAGAGGAAACCCACACAGGCACAGGGAGAATGCGCAAACTCCAGAGAGACAGTTGCCCGAGGACGGAATCAAACCCAGGTCCCTGGCGCTGTGAGGCAGCAGTGCTAACGACTGAGCTAGAGAGATGTTTCCACTTGTTACTGAATCCAAACCAAGAGGTCAGAAATAAAAGAGAGTCATGATTAGGGTAGCAACATCTTCAACTTGATAAAATATTTCAAAGGTGCACAGCATAGTGTTGGGAAGCCATTGAGGAGAGCATTGGAACAGTCAAGAAACGAGGTAACAAAGGAAATATTTTCAGGTTTTAGCAATGGCAAAACAAGGATGAGTGGTGTAACAGAGATGGAGCAGACGTTTAGGAATTAAAGATGCTGTATAAACATATGTTAAACATGCTATGTATTTGCAAGTTACGGTAACAAACTGATAAAAAGGGACAGAACGGAAGTAGAGAGAGGTGGTGGTTGTTCAATTTTTGATATATCTCAGAACAATGTAGAGAAGACACAATTTGCAACAGATCTACTTTTATAAATGTTTTAAAGTATCTCTACAATCACAAAACATGATCTCATGCTTACAATTTAACTTTTGTGATTTACTGTTTACTTTGCTCTGACTGCTCACCCAGGCTTGATTAAACAACTATAGTGAGTATAGATCTGTTCCCAGGATCTCATAATCGAACACAGGACAATTGAACACCACCATGGTGAGATATAACTGAGTATTATCAGTGTGCACTGACCTGTTTTCAGGTTGTTGTCACTGAGGGAGGAATGTGTAGGTGAGAAATAGTAGGGAGCCAAGGACAGACAAGATTAGGAGTCAACTCCTTCATTCCACATTTGTCCATGCCTTGCTGTTTGTTTTTGTTTGACTATAATTTGTTTGATGATATTTGTTCTCTCTGTGTTTGATAAAGGAGTTCATTAGACAAGGGTGTCTCAGCAAGTTATCTGCAAAGGGATTGCAGCAGCGAATGTTCTTCTTGGTAAGTGACTCAGTATTAATTGCGATTACATTATCTGCTGGACCCATTAAAATTGCAACAACATTATAGACATTCAGGGTTTTTTTTTAGCAGATCCTTTGATTCTTCACCATTCTTAAACAGTGCAAGTGAGTAAATGAGGAAATGTCAGAGGTGGCATCTTTTACATTAAACAAAGATCCCATCAGCCTTCTCAAGTGGATGTAGAAAATCTCACAGCTAGTTTCAAAGAGAAGCAGACTTCTAGCTAATATTTACCCTTCATCCAACACAACTTCAAACAGATTATCTGGTCTTTACTACACCGCTGTTAGTGGGAGCTTCCTCTTTGCAAATTGACTGCTTTGTTTCTGACATGAATATATTGACGGCACTTCTGACTTAATTTTCTGGCTCTGAGGTCCTCTGGGACATCCTGAAGTCATGAAAGAAAGTCGTACCATTATACAACACTTTAGAGGATACCAGACATCTGGAGAGTGTTTTACTGCTAGCAATTTAGTATGTTTTGAAGTGTAGTCAAAGTTGTACCACAGTAGCCAATTTACAACAGTTCGTACACACAAACTGGAATGTAATAATGATCAAATAATCTATTTAGAATTCTGCTGATTGAGGCATGAGTGTTGCCCAGTCCACCAGGGATAACATCTCTGCCAAATAATGTTATGGGAGCTTTTGTGCCCATTTGAGAGGATAGGTGGGACTTAATGTCATGTTGAAAATCCAAAGCACTGGACAGGAGAAATTAAACACTGCTGAACACATTGATATTAAACTTCTTTTGAAAGAAAAGCAACCTTGCACTTACATTGTGACAATACTGTCTCAGTACTGCACTCCAGTGTCAGCCTTGATATTTCACCTCAAGTCCTGATTTTTGTCTTGAACTCCGTGCATTAAAGACTTGTGCATTTATCCATTGAACCACTGCTATCACTAAGTAAGTTGCTCTTTATATGAAGTTTAATATCAATAAGTTCAGCAGAGTTGACTTTTCAAATTTAAGTACTTGCTTTACAGTCCACAGGCAAGGGAACTGTTCAATAAGAAAATGTTCTTTTCTCTTCCCCCTCCCCTGTTACAGTTCAATGATATTCTCTTGTACACAAGTAGAGGACTAACTGCATCCAATCAGTTCAAAGTTCATGGACAGATTCCCCTGTATGGTATGACTGTAAGTATTGCATTTTATATCAATTGAAGGATAATCTGATGACATGACCTGGTGTTATATTCAATTCCTGTAATTGTGGCATATAAATTGATTCAGCTAATGAGACAACCTGATTTTTCTGCCCTAAATAAGAGGTTTTTGCATTTACTCATTGTGTAAGTCAACCCTGTTCAGCCACAGCATATTATATTTGTTGTCCATAAGATATAGGAGCAGAATTAAGCCATTTGGCCCATCGAGTCTGCTCCACCATTCGATAATGGCTGATAGGTTCTTGATTAGTAAGAGAATCAAAAGTTACAGGCAGGAGAATTGGGTTAAGAAATCTATCTATCCCTGTCTTAAATACACTCAATGACTTGGCCTCTACAGCCTTCTGTGGCAATGAGTTCTACAGATTTATCACCCTCTGGCTGAAGAAATTCTTCCTTATCTCAGTTCTAGACTTGTCCCTTCACTCCGAGGCTGTGCCCTCAGGCCCTAGTCTCTCTTACTTGTGGAAACATCTCCATATCCACTCTATCCAGGCCAGAGGGTGATAAATCTGTAGAACTCATTGCCACAGAAGGCTGTAGAGGCCAAGTCATTGAGTGTATTTAAGACATGGATAGATAGATTTCTTAACCCAATTCTCCTGCCTGTAACTTTTCTCCTACTTGTGGAAACATCTCCATATCCACTGTATCCAGGCCTCTCAGTATTCTATAAGTTTCAGTCAGATCCCCTACCATCCTTCTAAACTCCATCGAGTACAGACCCAGAGTCCTCACTCATTCCTCATATGACCAGCCCTTCATCCCCGAGATCATTCTTGTAAACCTCCTCTGGAACCCCTCCAATATCAGCAAAGCCTTTCTTAGATACAGGGCCCAAAACTGCTCACAATTTTCCAAGTGCAGTCTGACCAGAGCCTTAAACAGCCTCAGCAGTACATCTCTACACTTGTATTCTAGCCCTCTGGAAATAAATGCTAGTGTTACATTTACCTTCCTAACTGCCAACTGAACCTGCATATTAACTTTAAGAGAATCCTGAACTAGGACTGTCAAGTCCCTTTTATGCTTCACATTTCTGAAGCCTTTCCCCATTTAGAAAATAGTCTATGCCTCTATTCTACCTACCAAGTCTGATAATCTCACACTTTCCCACATTGTATTCCATCTGCTCCTCCTTTGTCCATTCTCCAGCCTGTCCAAGTCCTCCTGCAGCTTCACCACTTCCTCACCTATCCACCTATCTTTGTGTCATCTGCAAACCTAGAAACAATGTCCTCAGTTGCTTCGTCCAGATCATTAATGTATAAAGTGAATGTTCATGGTCCTAACACTAACCCCTGCAGAACATCAGTAGTCACTAGTTGCCAGCCTTCCCTTGTCAAGCCACGGTTGCCTCATCCTCCCCTTGGTGTGTTTCTTCTTCCCCGGGATGAATTTCTGCTGTGCCTCTCAAATTAACCCCAGAAACTCTTGTCATTGCTGCTCTACCATCTTCCCTGCTAGGCTCCCCTTCCAATCAACTCTGGCCAGCTCCTCCCCCATGTCTTTGTAGCTACCTATACTCGATTGTAATACTGTTACTACTAATTCTAGCTTCTCCCTCTCAAACTGCCTTTTCTATCTCCTGATGTATGTTCTGTCCCACATCCTGACTCCTACTAGGAGACCCGTACACAACTCCCATCAGGATCTATTTACCTCTGTGGCTCCTCAACTTGAAGCTTTCTGACTCTATATCACTTCTTGCTATCGATTTAATTTTGTTTCTTACTAACAAGACAACCCCACGCCTGGGGTGGGATGCTGTTTGGAGGGTCAGTGTGACTCTATAGGCCGAATGGCCTGCTTCCACATTGTAGGGATTCTATCATTCTAGATAATTGAAGCTTCTGTCTTGAAGGCTGAGCCCACATTTCCTCTCATAAATAAAGCTGGTTCTGCAGCTTGGATGATGTACACAGCATGATGAATTTTAATTTTCAAAGTAGTTTTTTTGGCATTCCTGAAATTCTACTCTACCCCGCTGGACACCAGCTCAATTTGAATCATTTCGGGGCCATATGTGAACAACAAGATCCCTGAGGGGATTCCCGACACAGGGAGGAATTAGGAATTATGTTACATCTATACAAAAGCTTGGTTTAGGTCATACCTGAGGCACTGTGGTCTGCTCTCAGCCCATAATCTGTATTTTTCTAGCATACAATTAATGTCTTAGCAGAAGGAACAAGATGTGTTTCAACTTCACCAATAATTATATTCTTCCTGTGTACAGGAGATAGGATGCAAAGAGGATTATCTCTGGATATTTTTCCTGGTTATTGATTTGAAGGTCTTTAACATTCTTACATAGTATATGGAATGTACAACACAGATACAGATCATTCAGCCCAATTGGTCAATGCTGCTTTTTATGTCCCACACAAGCCTTCTCACAACCCCTCTCCTTCCTTCCTATCAAAGTATCTTCCTATTCGTTTCTCCCTCACATATTTGCCTAGCTTCACCTTAATATACATCTATACTATTCACCTTAATTTTTTTATTTATTTGTGGGATATAGGTGTGGCTGGCTGGCTGGGTCAGCACTTTTTGTGCATCCCTGGTTGCCCGTGAGATACAGTAATGAGTTCCAAATTCTCACCACTCTCAGTGTCAAGAAGAATCTCCTGAATTTCCCGTTGTATTTATTAGTGAGTATCCTGTTTCTGGTCTCCCCCTCGGATCCATAGGCCATTCCTATTACAGACAATATAGAGATGGTTTGGAAGCCCCATCACAAAGCTAGGAAGAAAAATTAGCGTATACAGCACTCCTCAGTATAACTGCCTAAGGTGGCCTCTTCTTGGAAATTAAAAACAGGCAAACAAATCCTTCATCCAAACATGCTGCCCAGTCATCAGGGCAGCGTGATGGCTCAATGGTTAGCACTGCTGCCTTGCAGTGCCAGAGACCCGGGTTCAATTCCAGCCTTGGACTGGAGTTTGTACATTCTCCCCATGTTTTCTCTGGGGTGCTCCAATTTCCTCCCACAATCTAAAGATGTTCAGGTTATATTATAATATCTAGGGATGTGCAGGTTAGGTGGATTAGCAGGGTTATAGTGTGGGGGCTGAGGCTAGGTGGGATGCTGTTTGGAGTGTCAATGTGAACTTGATGGGTTGAATGGCCTCTGTCTACACTATAGATTGTATTTGCTTACTTCCCTTTTTGTTCTGCTTTCCTATTCTCCCAACCACACTTCTTAACATTTGATAGATTTCTTTCCATTTTGACACTACTTGGTTGACACAAAGCAAGCACGTGTTTAACGTTTTTAACCTTTTCCTCTTCAGATTGAGGAAAGTGAAGATGAGTGGTCACTCCCTCATTGTTTCACTCTCAATGGACAACGCCAGTCCATCGTCGTAGCAGCGAGGTAGGACTCGAGTTCAACTTCCTTAGATGTCTGCCTTATTGAAATGAAGTGGGTGCGCAAACATGGTTACTGGATCATTGACAAATGATTGTATAGAGAGACTTTGTACATTTGAATGAGTGAAAGTTCATGTGATATTAAATGACCGTTTTGACCATCTAACCCAATCCTTCCAAACTTGGCAGAGTTGTAGAAATATTGATTGAGTACAGCATGAGGAGGCTATCTGGTCTGTCATGGCTGTATGGTGAGCCCTGTCACATGACAGAATTTGCTCTTGTGCTTTAAACCACTTGTACTTTTGTTCCTAGAGTCAGATAAACTGGAAGTTGTTTCTCGTCAAAGTCTGCTAGGTTTAGAATAAGCCAATCATTTAACGTAATTCCAGTTGGGGGGGCAGTAGATATGAGTATGACAATTGGCTGATGACCAGTCTGATTGATTGTTACCTGAGCAATGTTACTTCTTAGAGTTGTTTTTCATTATGTAATGAGTATGTGAGATCGGGCTGGATGGATTGAAATCTTTGTGGTTGTTGCAGCTGTAACTTCCCGGGGCTGTCATCTTAAGGTGACCCCATTCCAATCCTCTTTATTCACCTGAAAAAGTTACCAGTGATTGTCTGCAAACAGCAGCCGGACTCTGTGAGTGTGTGAGGCAGGTACAAACGGAACAGTAAATCACACTGTAGAGAAAACAGATTTGTGGCGCATTGGAAGCAGGAGAAGGCTGTTAAGCTCCTTGAGCCTGTGGACCATTCAGAGAGATGGGGTTATTCTGCAGTCTACCTCCATGTACCAACCTTTGGTCCATATCTCCTAATAACTTCAGATAGCAAAAATCAATCAGACTCCATTTAAAATTAACATTGGATCTACAATCAATTGTCTTTTGCAGAAGGAAGTTACAAACACCTACCACAATTCTGTCAATAGAAGTGTTTCCTAATTTCAAATCTGAAAGATTTTCCTCAAATGTTTAGTCTACAACATCCTCGACCTGGACTTCCCAATTAGTGGAAACAGTTCTTTTTCTCTATTTACCATGTTAAATCTCCTCAATATTCCGAAAACTTCAGTGACATAACTCCTTTACCTTCTCAGTTCTGGGGGATACAGCTGTAGTTTGAGTAACCACACCTTGTTAATTTGAGCCTTGGAACCTTGTGACCATTCTGTTAAATGTATGTAGCAGTTTGCCAGACTAATGCAGGAATTCTATTTAATAATTAATTAATTTGCACATTCTCCCCATGTCTGTGTGGGTTTTCTCTGGTTGGTCCAGTTTCCTCCCAAAGTCCTCCCAAAGTAGCAGAGAATTCAAGACCATGAAACGCATCACATCAGTCTGCCCCCACAAAGTATAACTTTACAAGCATTTATCCCTGGATTCCACTTAAACTCCTTTTTTTTAAGTGAGTGTCTCATTATAATTCTTTTTAATTAACCTGTTCAGATATGTGACCACACACCTTTGAATAAGGTGGGACTTGAACATGGACCTTCTGGCCTGAAGTTAGGAACACTACCACTGCCCCACAAGTCCACAGTGATATTTTCCCAATGTTCCTCCACCAGTATGTATTTAACCTCGATTGATGCAATTAACAATCTCTACTTGGCATCTCACAAAACTGTAAAAATGGTTGCCAAGCTAAACATCCTGACCATATCTCTAAGTTTGTTTTCTCCCTCTCTCTTTTCCTCAAAGTAGTAACTTATGGGGCACCACGGTGGCTCAGTGGTTAGCGCTGCTGCCTCACAGCGTCAGGGACCCAGGTTCAATTCCACCCTCAGGCGTCTGTCTGTGTGGAGTTTGCATGTTCCCTCCATGTCTGCATGGGTTTCCTCCAGGTGCTCCAGTTTCCTCTCACAGTCCAAAGATGTGCAGGTTAGGTGGATTGGCCATGCTAAATTACCCATTGTGTTCAGGGATGTGTAGATTAGGTGGGTTATATTGGGATGGGTCTGGGTGGGATGCTCTGATAATCAGTGTGGATCTGTTGGGCCAAAGGGCCTGTTTCCATGATTATGCAAAGTTACAGTCCTACAGGCACTAAAAAAATCTTTTTAGACTTGCGTAGGTGGCCATTTACACCAATGAACCTAGACAGCCCTTTTTTTGCCCAAAGGGGAAACCATCCTGCTGGATAGCACGGTGGCTCAGTGGTTAGCACTGCTCCCTCACAGTGCCAGGGACCCAGGTTCAAGTTCACCCTCAGGGGACTGTCTGTGTGGAGTTTGCACATTCTCCCCATGTCTGTGTGGGTTTTCTCTGGTTGGTCCAGTTTCCTCCCAAAGTCCAAAGATGTGCAGGTTAGGTGGATTGGCCATGCTAAATTACCCATAGTATCCAGGGATATGCAGGAGGTGGGTTAGCCATGGGAAATGCAGGATTACAGGGATAGAGTAAGTGGGTGGGTTGGCTCTGGATTGGATGCTCTTTGGAGGGTGGGTGTGAATTCAATGGGCCAAATGGCCTGATTTCACACTGTACTGATTCTCTGATCACTCCCTGGCTTCATGATTGCAAGATGTAATGATGCTGAGTGGATATAGCTTAAATTGTAATAGTTTCAGTGTAGCAAAGTTCCAAAATCCTGACTTGAGAAGAAGTGTTTCACGGACAGGAGGTGAAAAAGTTTCTTATATTAGGAAGCAATGCTTTATTATAAACAGTGCACGTTAGCAGGGACTGGAATCGTAGTTTGCTCCCACTTTGAATAAAATCTCATGGTTTTCTTTCCCTCAGTGCCCGGGTGGAGATGGACAAATGGATTGAGGATTTACAAATGGCTGTGGATCTTGCTCAGCAATGCAATGGGTCAACCAGTGAACTAATGACTCCCAGTCCTAGTGATGGACCCAACAGTAAGTGAATTCCTCACAGAACCAGATTCTTAGGCTTGGCTCGTATTTCTTCTTTGATTTGCAGTGTGAACTCCTCTGGATCTGCCATCACACCCACCACCCTCCACAGAAAGTCTCCAATGCTACTGGGACCAGAATATCTTGACTCAGTGCTCAAGTGTGCACTTGTACTTGGCGTTAATTCAGGAGAATAGAAACATCTTGACACATTCAGAGACACGATCTGATCTTCAGCACCAAAAAATGTTTACTCTGAACAAGCTCATGCTTTTCATTAAATGTC